TTAATTAAAATATCTCTAAAAATAATCATAAAGTGCTTTTAATTTCACCATACCGGTAAGAGATAGTACACATTATACCTAGAAATTTCCAAATAGTAAGGAAATATCTTCACTCGTATAGCTTTTTGTTAGAACCCATTTAGTTATGGAGCATTCATTGTGGGACCCAGAGGGTGGAAAAAGAGTATTCCTTATATTTTTGTGTTGGCTATTGGTACGGTTTGTACAAGTTGAAAAGTTCGAATAGACGTCAACCTATAGAATGGGTCATGCACATTGCACTCTTCAAGGGCGCGTACGAGCGCATGCAAGTTGCTCTAATTAGTGGAACGCCCCAAAACAGGCTAAGCCTTTCAACCTCAAATCACAATTAATGAATGTATAGGTAGATGTTTACTTCATAAATTTAAAATTATAATGTAGAATTATATTTAGTTTATAGATTTAGAATTATAATTTATAATTATTTTTAATTTATATATATTTTTTGTGAGAAAAAATATTATAACAAATTACGAATTATGATTTAAATTATTGCACAAATACATTAATAAAACACACTGTAAATGACCTATGTACAATACCCTGAAAACCATACCAAACGCAAAAACGACAATATTTGTACAGTTGACAAGAACGTCAAAATGACAACAACTAAAAAGTTAGAACAACAAAATTAGGATGAATAACTTCAGAACCATTCAACTTTAGAGGGATATAACTTTTTTCATTTGTTTTTTGGTTTAAATTCAAGCCAAGTTTCTTCAATTACCTGCTCGTTGCCTTGTTGGTCCCAAAGTGATATCGAAACGACATTGTTTAGTCAAAGACTTCTTTGTTGATTGGACCTCCACAGCAGAGCAGACTAGTATTTCTCATGTTTTCTTTCTGAGGTTATCCAAACACGAGTTAGAAATCAGAAAAATGAAAATATATTATGTTGTTATATTATCAAGTTGTCACTTTGGAATCTTTTCCCAAGAAATGAATTAATTGACTTTATATTTGGGGATGATATGAAAATTAATGTTGATAGTCCTATAAGCATTTTGATTCAGCTTGAAATTAAAGATATATTTCCCAAGACGATCTAAGAGGTACGTATTTATAATATGCACATTTTTAATTAAAAAAAAAGTACTCATATAATTAATAAGCCAAGTATTATAAAACTATCAACATGAGATACAACTTGGCTGCATAATAGGCCAAGGAATTATATAACTCAAAAGGCCTTGTCATGAAAACTCCAAGTCAACCAACCTCGATTAAGAATATTCTTCTTTCGTTTTCCTCAACCATGCAACTAATTAGTCTTAAATATCATAAGTTAATTTCGTTAAAACGAAGCACTAATTTTTGGATTCTTTAATTGGCCATTGAAGTTCAATATTCTAGGGTGAGGGTCATCTTGATCTTTTTTTTGTTAGGTAGGCTGAAAAAATATTGATTTGCTGATCATATAATAGCTCATCTGTGCTACAACTTGATCCTTAATTGTTCTTTATACCAAGAAGCATTGGAAAAAATAAAGATAACACATGGCATTATCAACTATGACATATTTTTTTATTTGGACAGAATTTTATAGGGCTGTAAGAAATCACCCCGAACCCGACGAACTCGGCCGAGCCGAGCCGACCCTACTCGAAAATCACGAGTTTTCAATTTTTTATTTAATTTTCAGTTTTAATTATGCCTAATCTGCACTGTGTGGGTAGGAGCGCGGGGTGGGGTTACATGAACCCGAGGTAACCCTACCTGGCCGAACATAAAGTAGGTAAAACAATGTCCAACACTTCAAATTCTTACTTTCATAAGTTTATGGATTTTATGCTTTTAAACTGTTAACTTATTTATGTTTTGGATTTACGGTTTGTGTAAAAAATGCTTGTATGCCATAGTTGTTGAATTAGGGCACTCTTTATTTATATTGAAAGTGTTTGATTTCAAAGTGAGTGTTTTAATTGTTCACCTTGCATTTAGACCCTCTCTTAAAGGAAAGACATGTTCTGTTTGATAATGATTTCTTCTGTAACAAGCACAGATTAATTGACTAAAAATTGATTAAAATTGATGAAGTCATAGATTAAAATTAGTTTTCACCCACCCGAGTAACCCGACCCTACCCGAGGTCACCTGAAAGGTTGCGGGTTTGTAGATTTAAGAGAATGTCGCGGTCCAAAATTTTCTCAACCCGCACTGGTCGGGTAGGCTCAATTTTTCAACTCAACTCTACCCTACCCGGTCGATTTACACCCCTAAAATTTTATTCATTTTCTTTCTAAACGAAAAAGAATGGTTAATTTCATATAAAGAAATAAGTCTTTTTTTTAAAGTATAACGATAAACTTATTTATTTATTTATTACGGAATCCCCTTTTTTTTTTGTGAAGGTTGTTTGGCAGCCGTCAGAACACACATGGCATTTAGTTGTTTAGCGTTTACTTTTTCTTCTTCCTAATTAGCAGTGTTCACACAAATAATTTAGCGAATAACATAAAATAATTAAAAAGCTTTTGAAATTTATTGGTTTGAACGATTTATGGATTATTGACATAAAGTATAAGGAAGACATTTTCATCACATTTGGAAAAACAAAAGTAAAAATAAAAAACCAAGAATAAACAAATTAAGTCAAAAATTGAATCGAGTTTTTGGTTAAGCTCACTTTGCCCCTTAACTAAAAAATATCAACTTGTCATCTAAATTTTGAGCAAATCTACTTAATCCATTAAGTTAGAATTTTGTTAAAAACAAACGAGTAGTGAGAATAATCATTTTTTTTAAAGAAGCTTTCTATGGGAGGTATCATGATAAGTAAAGATATATTTTTCTAAATATTAAATCTAATCAAGATATAATATAAATATGATAGTTTAAGTAGGTTATTTTTTTCAATACCTGCCCTGAAATTTTTCTTCTATAAAATCAAAATGGATGATAAAATAGTAAATATCCCGTAATAAATATTTGATGGGATCCTTTTAGTTTTGTGTGTTTTGGGAGTTTTTCTTGTAGAGCTCAAAAAAATATACTGAAAAAATCTTATTTATAGTTGTAGGTTATCAAAAAATTGTCTGTATTACATGTATATTTAATAATTTAATATGATTTTAATGAAATTAAATGATTAGAATTTGACTCTACTAGCAAACATGTCCTATATTAGAGAAATTTCCTTCTTATAAAACTCCTGTAGTTTTGAAGCATTTGTTAGGAAAATTTACCTGAAACCTAAGTAAATAACAAAGAATGAAAAATAACGAATAAAAAATAAAAATAAAATTCACACTAAGAATTTTATATAAATTTTAACAATTTGACTGTGTCACTAATTATTGTAGAAATTCATTAAAGAAAAAAACACTTAATCTTATTTTTTGTTTCTCTCACATTCAAAATATATTTCCTAACATCACACTCCAATTTTCCCTAAAAAAATTCATGATAAACAAATTCCTTAACATTAACGCCAAAAAAAGAAAAACTTTAGAAAAACTCAAAACCGTCTGCCGATAAAAAGACTTTTGATTGAAATTTCCTTCTTATAAAAACCCCCCGTAGTTTTGGAGCATTGTGGTACCCTCTTGGTGGAGCCCACCCCTTTGAGGTACGGCGCAGAGATGACAAAGACCTTTCTTGCCATTGGTGAGTTTTGTGCAAGTTGAAATGTTTGAATTGACGTCAACCTATAGAACGGGTCATGCGCATTGCACTCGCTTCAAGGGCGCGCACGCGCGCACGCATGCAGTCGCTCGTAGTGTAACCTCGTCAAGATAAGCCCTTTCACAATCAACAAAGGTAAAAAAAAAAAGGCCTTTCAAATCACAATCACATGACATGTTTATTTATCCGTAATCAAAATAGATATAAATTAGAGTAGAAAAAATTTAAAGTGGATAAAAATTAGAGTAAAAAATCAGATCAAAATAAGTTGTTTATTTACATTTTAAGAATCGGAGTCAGAATTAATCTCAATCTCATTTATGCGTTTATTTATGCTCAAAATAATAAATTATTATAAATTTACTTACCTACTATTTTTATAAATTTTTGTGTGTTAAACTTAAAAAAAAAATTGTATATTATGCTTACTATCTTAATATTAAGATAACTAATTAGTAGTTAAATTTTTTTTAATCACACTAAACTAATCATCTAAATTAGGATAACTAATTAGTAATTAGATTTTGTTAATTACTCTCTTCTTTCGTGCTAAAAGTTGAGACATAGTTACTCTACATTATCAATATATAAAATTAGATTTAACATTATATTGCATATTATAGAAAACAAAAATCAGCTTCGGATATAGATTGGAAAATGAAAAGCAATAGGCATAACACAAGAATTAAATTATAAGCATGAAAAAAAAAAGCTATGTTAATTTTATTTAATTATTTGCATTGATATAAATTCATCCATGGCACTAGTAAAAAAGAAAGAAAAGAAAAAAATATCAGAGGAAGTGAGCAAGGAGATACGAGAGGCGTGAAAGTAAATTATGGTATTTTTTAATTTTTTTTTTACTTTTTTACTTTTCTATTCACAAATTAAATAGTAGAATTAAGAGTCAAATCGTAATTACCATTTACTATTAGGATTAGGAGTGTCAATCTGGTAAGGGGTGAGTGGAGTGCCAATCTCATTCCTCAATCCTAAATTAGTATGAGAATCACATATTTTTACTCTTATTTCAAGATAAAAATAAGTAAGTAAACATGAGATTAATTTTGATTCCCGATTCTCATTAAGTAAACATGCCATCAATGACATTGTATAGAATGACCTATTCTATTATTATTATTATTATTATTATTATTATGCAGCATATTAAGAGCTCAGTTGGTTGGCCTTTTGAATTTTGGTCTACAATAAATTAATGCGCTTTGGATTTAGTAACATTATTTCATATATATATCGATAACAGAGATATTTCGATGACACTTGCGGTGGCTCTCTGGATATCTAAATCTAAATTCTCCCTCTCTATGATGATCTGATCTCTTTCACTTTCCTCTTGAGTTTGGTATATTCTTCATATTAAGCTGTGGGAGAGAAAGGGTCAAGGACCTGCAAATTAATTCATGTCAGGAGTTTCAATTTCATCATCAGCTAATTTTCACGTCTTTACTTTCTGTGTTGCCTTCGTCCTTGTTCTCACAGCTTCTTTAACAAGAGCTCAGAATGAAACTCAAGCCACCACAGATCCCTCTGAAGGTCTTCTCTCTCTCTCTCTCTCTCTCTCTCTCTCTCTCTCTCTCTCTCTCTCTCTCTCTCTAGCTCTATGGCTATCTATCTCTCTCTCTCTCTCTCTCTCTCTAGCTATCTCAATGGAAATAACCTTATGAATATATATATAGCTATCTCTCTCTCTCTCTCTCTCTCTCTCTAGCTCTATCTCTCTTCATCTTTTTCCTCTCAGTGTCATTTTTGCAAAGTTTAATCAACAAACTAATGTACATATGTTGCAGTTTTTCATCTTAATAATTAGTCCCATAGGAGATAACTAGTACGCGTTCATAAAATTTGGTTTATTCTTTTCAAACAAAAAAGAGAACTGGGTTTATGGTTTTCATTTTTTTTTTCTTTCATAAGTGGGTTTATACCTGGCAGAAAGAACAACCTTATTTGGCGGAGAAAAAAAAAAGTCATCTTTTCTTAAGTAGCAATTTTGCAGCAATTAAATTAAGTTCATTGAATTTGTGTACGGCATGGCAATATTTGGTGGGATATAGCAATGGCGGTCGTCATGAATATTTTTTCTTATCCTTTGCTTTTAGACACATGACATATTAGTTAACTTTTGAAGAACAATAATATAACATATATATGTGTGTGTATATATATATATATGTATATAAATTCAGGCATAAAAATTCCACAGCCGACAGGGAATCCATAAGACTTTTTGTCCTTATTTGATCCAACTTTCAGAATTATTTTGATACATGCGTATGTAAAAGTACAATTTGGTTGCAGCGAGAATTTTGAATTCAATATTTGACCAATGGAACATAAAGGCTGACACTCAACAATGGAATACAACCGGGGATCCGTGCAGTGGAGCCGCCATAGACTCCACCAGCTTCGATGATAAAGCATACAACCCCTTTATCAAATGCGATTGTTCTTCAAACAATATTTGCCACATCACCCAATTGTAAGTCCTATTTATACGTGTTGTATACGTACACATACGTGTACATGTATGTTTGACTGTATAATATTTTGAGGAGATATTATTACATATGCCAATTGATAAGATGATATTGATAGGGATCTCAACTACATTATTTTTTTGGGTTAATGTCAATTTTGGCCCCTAGACTATATTTTGTATTCCATTTTGATCCTCGAACTTTAATATGTTACAAAGTGCACCTTAGACTACGTTTTTTGTTTCACATTTGACCTTTTTTCACAAAATTTTTTACAATTCGAGAAAATCAACCACGTGACATTCACATACTTAGTTAATAAGAGATAAGACTCATTAGCTTGTTGCTAACAAAGTATGTGAGGGTTAAATTTAATTTAGTTCATCTTAATTGCTTTACGAGTCTAAAATACCCTTCATTAACCAGTAATGTGGGGTTCATAAGGTTATTTCCATTGAGTTTTTAACGATTTCATGACCAAAGGACCAAAATGGGACAAGGAATATAGTTTAGGCTGTAATTTGTAACATTAATCCAGAGGCCAAAAGTGATAAGTGAATTATGATTTTCTGATTAGTAAATCTCTTTGTAAAAAGTTAGTAATTACGAATTAAAAATTGACAACTAATTATTTGATACATTACTTGGTACGTAAAAATTTAAAAGATAAATCAGGATCCGCAGTACTATCCTATGTAACATGTCTTACGTGTCTTGTATTTTCCATTTTTAGATAAGCTCTAGATAATAAATAGAAATATTACTTATAAAATTTTTCTCAAATTATGATCTTTATAACACTGTCTCTGAATTTTTAATACATAACGTCCGTTGCTCTAAAATATGAAACGTCCATTCGCTATGTAGTTAACGTCAAATACTTTTATTTTTGTGTTTAATTTGTCACCAAAATTTGGTTGCAGGAAAGTATATGCAAAGGATGTTGCTGGGCCAATCCCAGAAGAGCTATGGAATCTGACCTTCCTCTTCAATCTGTATGGCTTCTCTGGCCATTTTCATTGCTCCTTTCTCTTTACAAAATCAACGCCAACTTCATTTTCTGTTTATAACATCAAACTATTGTTTGTCACATGGACAAAATTCCACTAAAATTAGGCGTATATTCCTTTTGTTACAGCAATTTGGGCCAAAATTACTTGACAGGTTCTGTTTCTCCATCCATTGGCAATCTCACCAGCATGCAATACTTGTAAGTATACTAAAATCCCAGCTTGAATCTAACAAGAAAATGGACATATTTATGTTACAAATAAACATTTTTATTTATTTATTTATTTTCATTTTTGGTGTTCTTTGTTTGGTTACTATCAGGAGTCTTGGAATAAATGCCTTATCAGGGGAGGTACCAAAGGAACTAGGACAACTTACTAATCTAATATCTTTGTGAGTAATTGGCATTCTCAAATCTCAATAGCAATCTTATTATGTGTTTTGAAATTTCCATTTTGCAGTTAAAAAAATTATACACAATGAATTGAATTATGTCATTTTTTTTTCTTTTTTGTAGGTCTTTTAGTTCAAACAACTTCTCTGGTTCTCTTCCATCTGAGCTGGGGAGGTTGTCAAAACTACAACAACTGTAATTTTGTCAATCTCTTTTTCTTTCCTTCTTTCTTTTTTCTTTTCTGATTTAAGTTTATCAGATAACAATTTTACTTGTCACTGAAATTTGCCTTGTTTATTTCACAGTTACATTGATAGCTCTGGAGTTAGTGGAGAGATTCCTTCAACATTTGCAAATCTTCAAAGCCTCCAAACAGTGTAAAGCCTTCATCATTTGTTCTATACAAATTAATTGATATCTTAAAATATATATATATATATACTTGTTTTCAATATGTTTTCATCGGTGGTTACCATTAAATCAGAAAATTTGATGACGTGATAAGAATCCAGTTTCATTAATTATCATTAATTTTTTGGTCAACTATCTAATTTATTATAACCGTCGGATCAATATCTTACGGCTAAAATAACAATACCTATTTATGAGTAAATATTGGAGTAATTATTAAAACGACACCCATATATATATATATATATATAACTATAGTTTTCTAAGGGAATCATTTCTCTTGTTGCAGATGGGCATCAGACATTGCACTTACAGGCAGAATACCCGACTTCATAGGAAACTGGTCAAATCTTAATACCTTGTAAGACAATCTGAAAATAAAATAGGCCAATGCCTTAGTTGAACTTCATGCCTTAACTTCATATCACTGAAATGGAGAGGAAAAATAAGAATAAAAAAACAATCAAACTCTAGAATTTTATGATTGATTTCTAGTTACTTTTGTGTGTTTTCTATAGGAGGTTTCAAGGAAACTCTTTTGAAGGGCCCATTCCATCAACATTTGCAAATCTAACTTCTCTATCAGACTTGTGAGTTGCTATATAAATAGGCCTACTGGTCACTTTCATGTTTGTCTACAGATTCATAGAGCTAACTATCTTGTGTCTGGTATGTCGATAGGCGATTGAGCGAAGTGTCAAATGTGAATTCTTCTCTCGCATTTATCAAGGACTTAAAGTCTCTAAGCACCTTGTAAGCGAAATGTTTTTTCTACACATAATCATATAATTCATAACGCATCTTTGAGCAACTCATTTATGTCACCTGTAGGGTGCTGAGGAATAACAACTTCACTGGTCCGATTCCGTCGGATATCGGGGAGTACCAAAAGTTGTTACGGCTGTAAGTTGAGCCCAACTTTCAGATGTAAATATGTTTGTAGTTTTGTAGCTTTTCTTGTTAAGTCATGAATTTTTATTCTCTTATATCCAGGGACTTGAGCTTCAACAAATTAAACGGACAGATTCCGGACTCTCTTTTCAACTTGAGTTCACTCTCTGATCTGTAATACATCTTCTCTCTTTGATTGTATCAGATGCCTCGTGACAGCTAATCTCAATGAAATGAATCATATATTTCTTTTTCCTTAATCAGGTTTCTAGGAAACAATAGTTTGAATGGTTCACTGCCCCAAGAAAAAAGCAAATCTCTTCTCACTATGTAAGTATACCACTAGTTGACTATGTTTAGAAATGGTCATGGTAGTGAATCAAACATTTATGGTTTTGTCCCATGTTATGCTTGCAGAGATGTTACATACAATAATCTAGTGGGCAGTATTCCTTCATGGGTCAATGGAACAAACTTAAAGATGTATGTCATTGGCTTGCCTGATATTCAAGTAAACATTAATGGCCTCATTCGTTTCGTTGGTTTGAGTTGAAAAGTGAATTTATGTGAGAAAAACACTGTAGCACAAGAAGTTGAATTTGAATTTTTTTAAGAGAAAACACTATACCAAAAACTTGTGTTGTGATTTCGACCAATGGAACGAACGGGGCCTTAGTTTTCTTTTCTTTTCTTATTTGTTAAATTTTTTGTAATAGTATATGCTCTTCTTCTATTAAGTAATGAGCTTGTCTTTTATACTGCTAGCTTGATTTCTATTAAATAATATTTCTTCTTCTTCTCTTGTTCTTTTATGCAGTAACCTGGTTGGCAACAACTTTACAATACAAAGTTCAGAGAACAGGTGATTCTTCTCTAACAATTGCATTCTATTTGCACATAATCTGCTACACTACAAGTAATATATGTTCAAAACTTTTTTAAGTAGTGTTTACTCCATTTGTTTTTGCTTCTCTCGGTTGTATCCAAACAAATAATATGCTCAAATGACACTGCTTAACCTTCTTTCTCTGCATCACTGCAAATGGCTAGTGCTTGTTCTTCAGCAAATAACTTCATAGTTTATCCAAGTTCATTCCACTTTCTCTTTCAGAGATCTTCTTTCAGGATTGAACTGCCTCCAAAAGGATTTCTCTTGCAATAAAGGCAATCCCATATGTAAGTAGAATTCACACTTGACTTTATTGTATTCCATTCAAATAGTTGTGAGCACTTGGCCATTTTTAATGTGCAAAAGAAAACACCCTTTTCCCAAAACATATTAGATAAATAACAAGTTTTGTTTGCACCTTTATGCAGATTACAACTTTGGAGTTAATTCTGGTGGTTCTCAAATCACATCATCTGATGGTAGCATTGTGTATGAAAGGGATGATGAGACTCTTGGTCCAGCTAACCACTTTGTGACCAGCACCAACAGATGGGCAGTTAGCAATGTTGGACTTTTCACGGAAAACAACAATGCTAGTTATACAAGTTCTTCTTTGTCTCAATTCACAAATACTTTGAACTCGGAACTTTTCCAGACATTAAGGCTTTCTGCCTCGTCGTTGAGGTACTATGGCCTGGGACTCGAGAACGGTAACTACACCGTGCAACTCGAGTTCACAGAAATAGCTATTGAGAACACTCGGAGTTGGAAGAGTCTCGGAAGGCGTGTATTTGATATCTACATCCAGGTATTATTCTTCACCTAATTGGTCTCGCACTATGTTTTATGACAAAGATAGTGCAACTTCTTTTTCTCACTATTCTTGGGTATTGTAGGGGAATCGTGTTTTGAAAGATTTTGATATCCGAAAGGAGGCCGGCGAGATATCCTTCCGGGCTGTCCAGAAGGAGTATAAGGCTCTAGTGTCAAATAACTACCTTGAAGTGCATCTCTTTTGGGCCGGGAAAGGAACTTGTTGCATACCTCAACAAGGTACCTATGGACCTTCCATCGCAGCCATCAGTGCTACCCCAGGTAACAAAATTAAGTCAAACATTTCATTTTGGTTTCAACATTTAGGGTCTGTTTGGCACATATACTTAAACACATAATTTTGATTCTGCTACAGAGTTTTTCATCTCACAAAGAATTTGAATTTAAAAACTTCTTCTCTCACAAAGTTCCAGCCAGTGAATTAAAATCACTGACTTGAACGCGTGAACCAAATGGATCCTTAAGGACAGTTATTAATGGTGTTTTCGATATTGAGACAGATTTCACGCCAACTGTGAGTAACAAGCCTCCGAGCAATGAGGAGAATAGGACAGGGCTGATTGTGGGAATTGTTGTTGGTGCTGGGGTTTTAGTCCTTCTGTCTGTTTTTGTGATCTTCTTTATTATCCATAGAAGAAGAAAAGCTAAAATGTGTAATGATGAAGG